ATATATATATTATATATATATATATCAGTTGTACTTTATTCAGCTATCATTGAACATCAGACTTTATGCAAATATTATATGTTTATAAATCCAATAATAAAATTTGAGAAATAATGGATTCTGGAAAATAAATTCTGGATTTCTGAAAAAAAAAAATTTGCATTCTAGTGTCTCGAGAGAACTTTACAAGTATTATACGTTTCGTGAACACGAAATTTAATTGTGGAAAGCATCGTTATTCTAAATTCAAGATATTAAAGACTTTATATACACCGACGGTGTAACATGAGCGCATATTTATTCTAATTTAGAAGATTTGCGTAAGTTAATAAATAGAAGAATTTATAACAAAGAACGCGTAATGCAGTCTGCTTACAAACTAAATTTTCCTATTTTCTGTAACTTCGGCCACTAGTGCTGGCTCTTTTAATGTTTTCCTTTTTATTAATTTATTTCTCATATTAAATCTCGATGACAAATTACGCAATTTAAAATTGCATTTGTACTCTTCTACTGTTTTTTAAATTTTTTCTATATATTTTATATATTTAGATACTTAAAAAGATGAATATAAAATACTAATCACTTTCTATTTAAAAAAGATTGATTGAAAAAATAGTTTAATATAAATTAAGTATATATTATTATTCACGCAAGAAGAGAAATAACAAAACAATAAATTATGATTAGTTTAATTTTTATATCAACTAGAACACTAGCGCTATGAGCATGCCATTTATTTTGTTACTATAATGCAACAATAATAAAATTGATAAAAAAAACGAGATGCAAAAAATACATTTTTTTTATTATCTGAAATCTATTTGCATTCATGAACGGGTTATATTGACGTGCCGTCAATTATGCAATAATCATCAATGACATCAAAGTATAAATTCTCAAGCACGCTGTGCATTTGCGTACGTTGCGGCTATGCAAAATAAAAAAAAAAAGAGTAAAATAAAGCCGGTTGATTTTATTGCCTGAAACTTGAGTCCTGAGTCCTCTCAGCATCCGGTTAACACAACCGACTCTGTAATATAATCAGGGGTCAGGAAAACGTACTCGAATGGTATAGTACAGTTAAAAGCATTGTTCCGTTGGTCGCTCTTTAGGAAAGATACACTCACGATCAGTCGCGAAAGAGAAGAGAAATCCAGCGTCCGGCAATGAATTGTATTTTTCTCGGCAAATTCTTCGCATAGGTACATACGAATTACACCGCGATAACGGACGTTTTCACTACTTTTCGGTCAGATTTTTGTCGTGTGTGAGAGTTTCCACTTCACATTGTATTGCCACCGGGAGAATTTTGAAGTGCGCTCGTTAGGCGGTAAGAATATTTTCTTTGATTTTCTCTCGTAGGAGATTCTATTTCATTACAATATTTTAATGTCCATGATATAAAAATATTTTCCATGCTATTTTTTACTAAATAACTTTATGCTTTTTGTTTTAATTAAACATTTATACTCTACTTATGCTTATAGAACTGCTTAAATAACAAAGTTGCAATAAATGTCTAATATACGTTAAGATATTAAGTATGCACAGAGACAATAAATATTTATGTAGAATAAATGCATTTAAAATACTTTTGTGCTTTTTTTAAAAAATATACAAAATTAAAGATCTATATTATACCATTTTCCTCTAGACACCATTTTACTCTTAATCGGCTCATTAAAAAACAAAGAAGTTTTATGTGCCATTATCGATTTAAAATGTATCCGTTAATTTTTTATCATGATCTAAAATTTTGTCCGGGAACATCCGTCGCGCGATTTAAAGAATGCATTACACACTTGTTCCATTCTATTTATCTTTATTCTATTTATCTTTATTCTATTCATATTATTTAATTGTATAATAGAATTACTTTATTGTAAAATTTTGATA